CTGAGTCAGGTAATAAGACATCAAGGCTTGACATGATCTGAAAAGAGAATTCTCACTCAACGAGATTCTTGCTTGGATAAAGAGCAGCTCACCAACCGGTTTGAGTCTGTAACTAGTCACCTAGTAAACTTGCACTGAACTGGTGAGGGACTATTTTTGGGGTGGAGCACTTCCTGTGCCGGGCCTGCCTATTCCAGATTTGTCAACATCCTGCCTTCCAGCTCCCACTGTTAAGTAGGCTGCCAGAGAATAACGCAGGTCAGCCTTACCTCTCACCCTGGAGGCCCCAGAGGCTTCTGGGCCTCCCCTAAGCTGCTCTTTCTGCCTAGAGCATTGTTCCAGTCCTCCCTTCTCCCTTTCTTAGCCGTTTTTTAAAAATTATTATTATATAGGATGTTATTCCCATCACCATTTATCCTCTCTATGCCCTCTTCCGCGTCCACCCACCCACCATCACCGCCATCAATGAGTTTTTTTAAAAATACATTTTATTGATTTTTCACAGAGAGGAAGGGAGAGAGAGAGTTAGAAACATCGATGAGAGAGAAACATCGATCAGCTGCCTCCTGCACATCTCCCACTGGGGATGTGCCCACAACCCAGGTACATGCCCTTGACCGGAATCGAACCCGGGACCCTTGAGTCCACAGGCCGACGCTCTATCCACTGAGCCAAACTGGCTTCGGCCATCAATGAGTTTTGAAATGATCCTGGGGACAAAGAGAAGCCACTGGAGGATTGAAGAGGAGAAGTCTGGCAACTGGATTTGCATTTTAGAAGACCGCTCTGGCTACAACATGAACAGATTAGGGAGGCCAGCATGAAGACAGGAAGAGCAGCTGGGGGTCCATTTCAGAAATACGGTACTACTTCCTCGGAACTCCAGTGCCCAGCAGCAGCTTTGGGAGAATCCAGGGAGGAACTGCACTGTTTGGCATCAGGGTTCCTGCTTTCTCTCAGACAGTGGTGCTCACAGGGGTCATTGTTCCTGTGCTGGGATCTCCACAATTCCAGAGTTAACTGGCAGTCATATCTGCATTTCCACCAGTGTGGCCAACACTGTTCACTCCACCATGATGATTCCTCCTTTCTTAGCCATTTTTAATTCAATCTTCATTCTCTTCCCCTCCCCCGCAAGCCTTTTCTTATCTCCCAAAATGGTGGTATTATCCTCCTAGGTAGCCACGTAGCCTCTCATTCTGCCCCAATCACACTTACTACATTTCATTGTAATTATATGTCTCCTTTTCTGCTAAATTGTAGGGTTCACAAGCCAGGGAATATGCCTATAAAACTAGCCCTAGGCACAGTCCCTGACCCTTAGTTGATGTTTAATAACTGTTGTTAAGAGAAGCAATGAGCCCTAGCCGGTTTGGCTCAGTGGCTAGCGTGTCGGCCTGCAGACCTGTGGACCAAAGGATCCCGGGTTCGATTTCGGTCAAGGGTACATATCTCGGTTGCAGGCTCCTCCCCGGGCTGGGCCCTGGTCAGGGCGCGTGCCTGCAGGAGGCAACCAATCCATGTGTTTCTCTCACATTGCTATTTCTGTCTTTCCCTCTCTCTTCCACTCTCTCTAAAAATCAATGGAAAAATATCCTCAGGTGAGGATTTAAAAAAAGAAAAGAAAAAGAAACAATGACATGAACAAATAGAAGAATGATTAGGAGCAAGCACCTGCATTATATTCCCCTGCTTTTTTAAAAAATATATTTTATTGATTTTTTTACAGGGAGGAAGGGAGAGGGATAGAGAGTTAGAAATATCGATGAGAGAGAAACATCGATCAGCTGCCTCCTGCACACCCCCCACTGGGGATGTGCCCACAACCAAGGTATATGCCCTTGACCGGAATCGAACCTGGGACCTTTCAATCCACAGGCCGACGCTCTATCCACTGAGCCAAACCGGTGACGGCTTCCCCTGCTTTTTTATCTTCTCAAGGGATTCACCATGGGGGGAAAAAAGCCACCTCTCGGGCATAGAAAGAAAATTGCCTGGGAGAGATGGCCCTGAAATATTTAAAATTTCAAACTAAGGACTCTCAGAATAGGAGCGTTTTTCCTATTCCCTTCAAAATCCAGCCTTACCCAATTCAACATGTCTTGAAAGAAAGAGAAAAGTAAAGAAAAAATACAGACAAAACACTTCAATGTCAAAATAGCAAGTATGTTCTAAGCCTGTGTTGTCCAACACAAAAGCCACTGAGCTCTTGCAAAGGGGCTGGTCTGAATTGAGATGTGCTATGAAATACAAGGGCCTAGCGGGTTTGGCTCAGTGGATAGAGCATCAGCCTGTGGACTGAAGGGTCCCAGGCATGATTTTCATCAAGGGCACATTCCTGAGTTGTGGGCTCGATCCCCAGTAGGGGGCGTGCAGGAGGCAGCTGATCACTGATTCTCATCATTGATGTTTCAATCTCTCCCTTTCCCTTCCTCTCTGAAATCAACAAAAATATATATTTTTAAATACACCCTAGATCTTGAAGATTTAGTATGAAAAAGGGAATGTAAACAGCTATTGGTCCTATCTACCTACCTATCTATCTATATATAAAAGGCTATATGCTAAGTGTCTGACAGTCCAGGTAATGACGTTATGTAGCAACGCCCGGCTTCCTTTCCCTAGCGACTAGCCTCCTTGGAGTTTTTTTCAGCCCAGGAACATGACTTGCTTTATAGCCAGGTGGAAACATTTCACAATTTAACCAAATATTTGTGAAGCGTTTTCCCATGCCTCATCTCATTTGATCCTCACAGAAGTCCCGGAGTAGGTAGATAGGAGGCTCAGTAGAATCCAATTTTCTTTTCATTAGCTGGAAAATGGAGATTTAGAAAGCTGAGAAACTTGACCCAGCTGAAAAGAAGTAAGAAATGGTGGACCTTGAAAAATGACTTCAGGTTTTCTCACTGCATAGAATATAGTCAGACACTGCTGCAATCAATTGGCTAAATATTTTACCCTTTGTTCTCCATGCGTGATCTACAATAATAATCTGCTTCGTGTTGATATTTACTGCTGTGTTGCTGACAATTACCTGAAAGAGAAGTTAGGGTGCTTCACTGGACTGGAAAAAGTAATCAGAAAGAAGCAGGTCCAATTAAGCAAGTTTATTCTATATCTATAAAAGGCTAAGTTGACTCACGCATGCGTGATACATACAAAGCTCTCGCTGGCGCCAATCGCACGCATGTGTTTCGATCTGTCATTGTCGATCTTGAATTTGGTTGACACTTCTATTATAGAGATAGGGCGAATAGCAATATTAAAATATTTCTTCTAATTAATTTCCTTTCAATGTGCACGAATTTGTGCACTGGGCCACTAGTTGATTATATATTGAAATAATACTTTGATACACTGAGTTAAAGAAAACAAAATATATTAAATATACTTCCACCTGTCTCTTTTCTCTGTTTTCACTATGGCTACTAGATCATTTAAAATGTTTTTTTGTGGGTGTGTGGAGGTTAATGTGCAAGCTGAGCTGGGTCAGGTGGCTACCTCCTTTCTGCTCAGATCTGCTTGTTCAGTCTCTCCCTGGTCAACTAGGTGCCCTTGAACCCTGGCATTTTCTGCACTGCCTTTGGTGTGATCTCTGGGGGCAGGACTTTGGTGTGGCAATAGGGTCTGCCCCCTGTGTCCTGATCTTGGGTCCTGTTTGCCCAGTTACTCTCCACAGCTCTCGGTTTCTGTCTCTGGCGCTAGCCCGGAACCTGACCATAACACTGCCCAGTTCCCTTTGGCCTATGGTTTGGTGTTGGTTTTCTCTGTGTTCACTGCAGATGGGAGTTTGGCAAGAAGAGATGAGGTCTGTTCTTTATGCAGAGCTTTTGAAGTCACCTATGGGAAAATATTGATGGACGAGGAATACATCACAAAATGCCTCCAGTTGATAATTGTAATAAACAACTTGTTAATATGTGCCAACTGTCTTCTCCTCCATCCCCTTGATTTAGGGGAAGACTGATTCTCCCCTGAAGCAACTGTTTGGGTGAATCAATTGGCCACACAACTGTCCTGAGTCTTCAGCTGTAACTTTCTTGGCCATCTCCAATCAATTCTCTCACCACAGAAAGGCCAGCTCAGTGCTGTGACTGGAGTTTTCTTCTATGCAAAGTGACATTTTCCCAATCATGCCAACTTTATTTAATTTATTCTTTTTAATATATATTTTTTTATTTCAGAGAGGAAGGGAGAGGGAGAGAGAGATAGAAACATCAATGATGATAGGAAGGGAGAGGGAGAGAGAGATAAAAACATCAATAATGCCCTAACCCAGTGGTTCTCAACCTGTGGGTCGCGACCCCTTTGGGGGTTGAACGACCCTTTCACAGGGGTCGCCTAAGACCATCAGAAAACACATATATAATTACATATTGTTTTTGTGATTAATCACTATGCTTTAATGATGTTCAATTTGTAACAATGAAAATTTCTCTCTCATCGATGTTTCTAACTCTCTATCCCTCTCCCTTCCTCTCTGTAAAAAAATCAATAAAAAATATATTTTAAAAAAATTAATGATGAGAAAGAATCATTTATTAGCTGCCTCCTGCACATCCCCTACTGGGGATCGAGCCTATAACCCGGGCACATGCCCTTAATCAGAATCGAACTCAGGACCCTTCAGTCCACAGGCTGACACTCTATCCACTGAGCCAAAATGGCTAAGGCAATCATGCCACTTTAAAAGTCCACATGCTAATATATGTGGGGGGGGGGGGGGGTGGGTGTGGGAAGGAGAATAATTCTAAATAAATACATATTTTTTAAAAATTTAATCCTCACCCAAGGATATTTTTCCATTGATTTTTAGAGAGAGTAGAAGAGGGAGGGTGAGACAGAGAGAAACATAGATGTGAGAGAGACACATTGATTGGTTGTCTCTGGCATGAGCCGGACCTGGGCCCGGGCCAGGGAGCAGCCTGCAATTGAGGAACGTGCACTTGACCGGAATCAAACCCAGGACCCTTCAGTCAGCAGGCCAGCGCTCTATCCACTGAGCCAAACCGGCTAGGGCTAAGTAAATGCAGATCTTAAGCACAAATGTCTCTTCCAATTCTTTCTTCCTTCACTCGGTGCCTACAGAAGTATTTATTCCTCCTCCGAAATCGTGCCAGCTTCTCTGTCTGCCTGTGGTATAGAAACACAACCAGATCTAGATCTCCTGACTTTTAGAAACAAATATACAAACAAAATCCTCACTTGACTCAGTCACTCTCTTTGGTTAGTGTTTTACTTTTCTCTTTCTTTTCGAAGGCAGTGTTCTTGGATTGCACGTGCTGTACAGCCTCACCGTTCTTTCTCTCTCTTCTTCTCTGCCGTGTGTCATCAGCTCTGACACTACTGTGACCCTTGAGACACTACTTCAGCAATGACCGGGTCCGATGGCAAACCCAGCAGTCCCCTTCGTGTCCCCGTTCTTCCTGACTTCACCCCCATGACGTTCAGCACTCACCGCCCCTTTCATGCTTCTCTCCTCCTGTAGCTCCCATCCCACCAGAAATGACGCAGCCACGCCCTGGCCGGTTTGGCTCAGTGGATGGAGCGTCGGCCTGCGGACTGAAGGGTCCCAGGTTCGATTCCGGTCAAGGACATGTACCTTGGTTGCGGGCACATCCCCAGTGGGGGGTGTGCAGGAGGCAACTGATCGATGTTTCTAACTCTCTATCTCTCTCCCTTCCTCTCTGTAAA